GGGAGGGTCCCAAAACCACACTCACAATTTCCCCAGACGGGGGTGGTGCACCGCTCCCAGACTCACAGAATGGAGATAACAGTCTGAGCCTCCCAGACCGAGAGCTGACTGGGGTGGGGAGGAGGGAGGGCCTTGGGAGAGCGGCCACCTGGAGCGAGGCAATCCGGAGCCGAGAGACATCTGGAAACCCAAGGGACCCGGAACAAAAAGGGACGATCTTCCACCCCCCCGTCTGCGGGGAGCAACGAAGCTGATAGTATCTGTCCTTGAGTATTCTGGCAATAACTATAAACATCACTTCTTATCGGCTTTTCTTCTGAGCACAAATCCAAAACACAGCCTCTTGCTAGCTATTATGAAGAAAGTTAACCCTGTCTCTGCTTAACCCAGGACAGAGTTTGATACTGCTAAACCCAGGACAGAGTTTGATACTGCTAAACTAATGTACTTATAAGTATATATATGCTTATATACATTTTTATATATAGATGCATGTATGTGTATACATTTGACAGTCATTGGTGTGCAGACACTTGTGATTTAATTGCACTTTCATTCTAGAGAACACTGTTTGAACAACCTGGTGGTTCATCTGCAATGTACCATTAAACGTAAGTACACATACCCTGGGAATATTTCACACAGAAATCAAATTGTTCAGTCCATAAAGCCCAATGTTAATAGTTGGAACTGAAAGGTTAGGGAATGGACTAAAAAAGCCACACTCGTAATGATATAAACACAGGAAAATCTACAGTTTTCACATTTTCAGAATTAAATATACACTAGAGACGGGTCTATACTGAAAACACATATAAAAAAAAATCCAGAAGGTGTGAGGAAAGAACATGTCTAAATTCAAGTTATAAAGATGCATCTTGATTTCACCTGTAAAACACTAAACTCGTTTCTAGAGTAATAGTATTTTTGAATAGCAGTTTAGATACTACAAAGCCTATTTCTCCAAGAATATTAGCAAGTCTAATAAAACATGCTATATCCTCCTAAAAATCTACAGCTCTTTTTTGTTTGTTTGATTGGTTGAAGGTTTTTTTTTGTTTTGGTTTTTTTTGTTTTTTTTTTTTTTAATTTTAGCTTGTGGAAAACAACTGGCAACTCAGAACAAGGCAACAAGGATTGTAGGTGGAAGCGATGCCAGACAAGAAGCTTGGCCTTGGATAGTTTCAATTCATTTTAATTCCAGACCTGTTTGTGGAGCTTCCCTTGTCAGTGATGAATGGCTGGTGACAGCAGCACACTGTGTATATGGGTAATGTTCATTGCACTCAGAAGCTAAACACATTCTGATACTTCCACAGCATGCAAGTATCCAAATGGCAGGTAGTTGCCAGTAAAGCTGGGTTGAAGTATGACCTGAACCATCAATCAATCCTGTATAGAGCAAAACACACTTTCAAAGAATCACACTGAAATCACTTGGGAGTGGCACTTTTTAGAGGGTTTCTAGATGTTTACTTTAGAATGACATTAATATAAATTCACAAGTGCCTCTTTCTCTCCAGTAACTCCAGGGCATCTTTCCAACTAGCTGAGATGGCCATATGACATCCATACCATGCAATTTCTTTTTTATTTTAATTATGATGAAACACTTGGTTTATGTGCAGATTCACTAAGGAGACATCAGATTATGAATAATTTGTGACACTGATATAAAAAATTAACAATTATCTCCCTGTTTAACTATTGTCTTTTGAACCACCTGTGGGCTCAGCTAAAGGTTCCTGTACTTTCTGGTAAACCCTCAGTCCTTACTTTAAGGCAGAGAAATAATGGAAAACACGGAAACAAAGCAGCAGTTTCTGAACAATGAAGAATTGCACTTTAAATGTATGGTATTAATACTGAGCAATGGCATAATCAATGTCGGCCTCCATTAATTAGTTGAATCTCTGCCCATGGTTTAAAGGATTACATCATACCTCATAAAGGTAGACTCACTATTGCCAGATACTCCTGTATAATACCATAGATTGATCAAGATCTACTGTGCATCATTTGAACGGATCTTGATTACGCGTATTTTTTAGGCAATACTGGATATCATCTAGATATTTGTACCACTCAAAGAAGTGATGCACATTTAAATACTTTGTAAGATTCGCTTCCTTAACATCTTTAACCAAAAAAAAAAAAAAAAAAAAAAGTGCTGTAGAAGACACCTAGAAACTGGAATGGCAAAAAAAGAAACATTACTATTAAAAATTACAGTCGCTCTTTCATTACCAATAGCTAAGTAGCAAGACAGTGGAGACTATGCCCACACATGAATGCTGCCTCATTGCATGACAGGAGCTATACTCCACAAAAAGACACTGAAAAAAGAAGGATCAAGTCCTCTTAGTTTTCACACAATAAATCCACACCTGTCTTGGTACTTCCTTTTCACTTAAATTACCTTTCTATTTCAGTTAAATATCATTTTATCATCTTGACTTTGCTAAAACTTTCTGAAGTGGGAGCCTGCAATTTCACACCTTAATTCTGAATATTTAACTTAAACGCTGCTAGTTCAGAACAAGATAACCTCTTGATGTCAAACCAAAAGATCAGCAGTAAACAATTCAACATCAATCAGGCTGAAAATATATTTTTGAAACAATTAAATAGTTGATTAAAAAATAGCAAATAATTAAGTTCTCTAACTTAATTACAGCCTCAAACCAGCATGTGTAGCTCAGCAAAAAATGCAGATTATATAATATTTTGTTTTAGCATATCTTTTTTGATTTAGACTAAAAAATTAAGAGACCAATTTTCTGAGTCTATGGGCTGCAGCACTTCCAATGACATTTTAACCTATTATTCTTTAGGTATTCAATAATAATTTTCTAACTGGAACTAATATTAATTGCCTAGTGAGCAATCTGCAGTATTCTTCACAGTGTTTAAAAAGCCATAGTAATTTAGTTAATGTATTTTCCTCCTCTGCACTACTCTCTGATTAATTCTTTATAAATAATGCATTATAAGCTTAAAATAACAAATGAACCACATATTTCTACAGTGTGGAAGTTGAAGATAGGATTACTATCACAAAATTGTAAGCACATCGACTACATTCTATTTATTTTGACAAAATGTGCAAATGCTATGAATTACCATGAAGTTGAAGATTACCATGTTTCCTAACATATTTTTCAAAACTTTAATTAATCATTCATAATTGTGAATATTCCTTTCAACTTGCAGAAGGCAATTAAAACCATCTCAATGGAAAGCAGTTCTTGGCTTGTATGACCAATCAGATACGACACAGCCTTCAACAGTAGTTCGAAACATCGATCAAATAGTTATGAATCCTCACTACATGAAGAACACAAAAGACAGTGATATTGCTCTCATGCACCTTCAATATAAAGTGCAATATACAGGTGAGTTGTTATTTTCCCACAAAACAGAATTACTCAGTTATGCAAAACTCTAACTGTGCTAAGCATACAAGAGTGATGGGGTGGCTGTACATTTTTTACAACTTAAGCATTCTGGAGTCAGTCCAGTACTTCCTGGATATCTTGCTCAAGAAGTGGGTTTGAATTAGTGAACATTTTCATATATGACTTCATAAAAACCTGTATACAGGGAAGAAGCTGAAGTTGATTGTTTGTTTCTCACTCATAGATTACATACAACCTATCTGTTTACCAGAAAAAAATCAACAGTTTTTACCAGGAATTAACTGCTCCATTGCTGGCTGGGGTCGTATTACGAACCAAGGTGGGTCATCTGCTTAGAAAATTATGACAGGCATGAAGGCATGAGGGAAATTTTGATCCTGATTCCACAGGGGTTGCTAAGGTTGAATAGTTTAGAGAGGTACTCCTTATACCAAAATTTGAGAACTATCCCCCTCCACTGTTCCTCCTCTAAAGCAAAGTAATAGAGTTATAACATATTAATTAGAAAAAATATACATACCTAAAATCATTAAATTATGAAAAAACCTTATTGCATCCCCTTAGAAGTTATGATGCCTACTTTCCTCAATATGAAATGTGTACATGTTATTTATAGATATTGGCTGGCGGAGGAGGAGGAAGATTAGTCTTTCTGACAATGTGCAAATGATTTTCCCCAGAAGTCAAGAATACTGACTGTTGTGTGAAATATATGTTCTGTTTGTGTAACACATGCTCCAGATTTGGAGTCTCTGTGGAATAATAACCACATCATTTCACTTCCACAGTTCCTTGTATGCATTTGCTTCTCTATTTTCAGAATAAAATTGCATTTAAAATTTTCGGTAGGATTTAGCAATTTTTATAGAAACTTGAAATACTCAATCAAAGTCACACAACTAATAGTGAGGAAACATTGGACAATCCAAGATCCTAAGCCCTTAATTACCCCTTAGATCTCCCCACAGTAAGTTCATAGTAATTGATTTTAGTAAAATTGATTTAATTATGACCAAATTCAGTCCCATTGCACAAATGAAAGACAGGATTCAGTTAATGAGCACCATTTGACCACTGACTGTGTTACAGGGGTATAAGTCTGAATAACACAGTGGTGAGGCAGGGCTTCCTGCTGCTCAGTAGTGTGCTCAGCATGCTGAAACAGGAACAAAACCATCTGTGTTCTGAGCAGGATGTACATATTTATTACAATGGGCAAACATACTTTGTATTTTCATCAGGTCCCACTTCAGATATATTGCAAGAAGCAGAGGTCCCCCTCATTTCAAATGAAAAATGCCAAGAAGAGATGCCAGAATATAGTATTACTAAGAATATGATCTGTGCGGGATATGACACAGGAGGAGTAGATTCCTGTCAGGTAAATACAAGCGACTAATTTCCACTTCTAGTTTATACCACATCTAATTACTGAATAAAATGTTCCCTGATCCTCCAGCCATTAAAACTGGGACAATCACTGTCCACAAATATAACTTCTACTCATGGTATTTTGCCCATTTTATACTTTATCATAATAGAAGTTGAAAAGATTAAAATCTACTTTGTTTTATCTTGACACAAACAACCATGAAGGGAGACAAATATAAGGACTGGAAAATTTCCGCACTAAGCTTCTTATAATAAGTAGTGCTGAGTAATTGCACGAAGGAAAGAGGGACACACTTAGGGAAAAGCAGGGTGCAGAGAAATAAATACCAAATAGATTGAAGTCTCTGAAATGCTTTTAGGGATAGCAATGATGCTTTTTCACAGAATCTGCAGACTCTGGAGACCTTCTGTGAGTGGCTGTCACACTATTTTGGAGAGGCTGCCTTTCTTCATTGGTCTCACATGCTGCTTCCTGGGGATCTAGTTTTTATCCAGTTGAGCTCTGCTTTTAACACGCTGCTCCTCTTCAAGGATGTAGTTGGAGTTGACCGTCACATAATTTTTCTTCCAGCAATATGGAATCTATGGCATGGAGACTGCCTGGTTCTCCTCAAGTCTGATGAGGAGCACTCTCACATAATTGCTCTTGCCTTGCCCTCACAACCTAAGCCTTCATAAGGTCCAGTGACTTTGGTTAGTTTTGTCTAGGAGGAGTGTATGCAAGCCCAATTTCACTTGCCATTCCTTCAGACTCTGTGGCTTTCCTCTTTCCTTTTTGCCCTCTGAACCTCATACTGAAAAAAAGCAGTGTAGCCCCATAGGCTGATATAGAGTAGAAGTGACCATCATTGTGATCAATGACCATTCAAGCATAAGCAAAGACAAACAAGTGAGTCCTGATAGTGCTTCAGCCCTTAGGCTGCTGTCACAGCCTTTGAACTTTGGCAGATGCCCCAGAGTTATGGGCAGAAGTATTTTAATGTCCAAATCCTTGCAGAAGTCTCCCATAAAGCTCCATTCACAGGGTCATGAGAAGACAAAATACTGGTTCAACTAACTCAATGGCAATGAAAAATAGTCATTGTTTTCTTCCTCATCAAAACAAGACACTCACGGCTGATTTATCCCCCACTCAGGCTGTGGGATGAATCAAATTTCATTTTCCACACTCTACTGCAATGCTAGATCTGCTAACCTATTGAGAAGGACATGTGCAAAAAGGACACCTCCTCTTCTGGCAATTGTGCCATCTTTTTCTCTAAATTTGAAATTGCAGAAACTCTGGGGTGACCAAAAATAGAACTGCATTAGGGCTGAGTAGATTAAACTAAAATATAATCCTATGCATTTACCCAGGTTTTGTGAAAGTTGAAGAAAAATAAGTTGAATAAGCAAAAAAAAAAAAAAAAAAAAAAAAATTAAAAAAAATCATTTGAAACCCAGTCCTGTATTGAAAGACTGACAAGAACTTAAGATCACAGCCTTTAAAAAATTTGAAAAAAAGGAAATAGATTATCCCAAGAACATTTCCATGTGAAAAAACTCATATTGATCTCACTTCTGGTGCACGGGACATACAGGGATACAATGCCTGTGATTAAGTACCAACACAAGCAAAGCATCATAAGCAGGCTCTGCTTCAGAGTCGACACTGCTCAATGTTTTTAATTTTTGAATTTCATCTTGCAGGGAGATTCAGGTGGCCCTCTGACATTTGAAGATGGTAATAAGTGGTTTTTGGTTGGTGTAACATCATTTGGCTATGAGTGTGCACTCCCCAAACGACCAGGAGTGTATGTTCGAGTCACCATGTTTGTGGACTGGATCAAAAAAATAATCTATTAGCTCGATACTTTTTAATTATAGAAATAAAACTTAAAGGTTGAAAGTAAGCCATTGTATAATGATGTAAACTGGCATTCCAATCTTACAGTTAGAGAAACAATAAATATTTAAATTTTTAGGAGGAAAATATTAATAATTGAGCACTCCATTACCAATTGAGAGTAATATTTCAAAACAGATGTTGTGCTTTTGTTAATAAATAGTTTAATCATTTTACTTTTTCTTTTATATGAGGCTGTGAGGAAACAGCTTCTTTGAACACCAGTGCATTAAATGCATAATGGAAGGCTTTACAAAGCATGGGCAGTAAAAAAAAAGTTTGCAGACTGCAAATACTTTACTGAAAAAATGGTCTAAATCATTAATTTCAGGCCAAACATTACCTGGTTTTATGTTTTGATGCTGTATTTTTCAATGTGCATTTTCATTTTAAACGATAGTCAACTATTCTCAGTAATCTCACCACATATCAAAATGAAGAATTTGTTATCTGTTTGAACTGGGCTCATGGGGGCTCTTCTGTCTTGTCTATTAAAAAAACCAGTGGAATGAGGTTTATGGATTGTGCACAAAGGCTGATCATGTATCATGCTGCTTTCTAATGAATAAACTGAAAGCAAGCCAAAAGTTCTCTCTTGTGTAATTCGTTTGGAATTAATGGAGTTAAATAAGGATTGAATATAGCTTTTTAGTTTTCTTTTTAGGCAAATGCTTTGGCAATTATTCAAGCAATTAAAGATATGTGCTTGAGTACACTCAAGCACAGACTCACAATACTGCAACTTCCTCTCATAAAAAATTATGTCTTTTGAAAAAAAATCTGTCAAAAACAAGTATCAACTATTCCCGGTGAATAAAAAGTAATGGGGTTCCATTGATATATTACATGCTTTTTCCTTACTGGTGAATTTTAATATTGATTTTGTGCTTTGTATAAAAACTATCATGGTAGGCCCTTAAAGCATTCTGAAGGGGAAAGAATATGAAGAAAAAAAAAGGGTTTTTTTTAATCTTCTTGAGCTCTTTTATGAATACGTTTCCATTAAAATATAATTATCTACTTGTTGAAATGCCTTATATTCAACGGTGTCTTAGTGTAATATGATGCATTTCCTTTATTTCTGTTTTCAGCCTAGTGCAGGAATTTAATATATTTCAAATTCCAAAGTACTGCATGAAAATACAAAATGCATTCTAACTTACTGTGTATGTGTATCTACACATATACACACAGATGTATGATTTTTGTAAGGAGCTCCCACAGTTGGTGCTTAGAAAGCTAAATGCAGATATGACCTGCTCAAAGTACAAGGGTAGCTTACAAACACAGGTTGGCAGTCACAGACAAAAAATATCAAGTCCCAAACTGTTTTCAGGTCTTCATAAGAATTAGGGGACTGGGTCCACACCAAAATATTTAGCTTTATCAATACATCTGTGGCCACAGATGTAATTAAGCCAGAGAAAAGATAAAAGGTGTTTTAGACATCTTTCATATGAAACACACAGTTTCAACATTAAAATGTTAAGGTTGCAAATTCTATCTTGTGGATTAGTTTCTCCTGTTACTTTCCTTCACTTGAAAACAGCCACTGAAACTAAAGTGCATTCTACAATCAGTATAAATTGATTCAGATGAAACAATTACATTAAAATGCTTAATTAAAATGTGACATGATTTCTGCGTTATTTACCATACATCACTATTGTAAATGGTGTTTCAGTCTGTTAATGAAATACAAGAGCCAACTTAAAAATTTGAGTTACTAGATTCAGTTACTAGAAAATGTGCTTCCCAGAAATACAGTAATATACTCCTATATACGTGTGGTTTTTGCTTCTCAAAATGCAAAGCGTAGATGTATTTTGAGGCATACATTAATAAAGCATCCCCTCAGACTAAAAATTTTAATGTTATAAACTCTGGTATAGAAACATATGTAATATAGACTAGTATAATTAAAAATAAACATTTTATTTCAAGTACTTTATGTCTAGATAAAATTAACATAACCTTAGTCAACCACATTCTAGCCTTCATTCAGCATTCATTACTTCATTTGCCTGCATATTAACCTATGGAGAAGCCAGTTGTTACTATGTTAAAATGTAGGGCGAATGGATTATTTTCAGAGTCACAGGTCCAAGATGCTTTGAAATATGTGGTGGAAGCTTGATGCTAACTTACACTAGCTTGCACCCAAAAAAGTTCAAAACATTGAAAAAGGAAACAACAGCTTTCTCTCTCAGGTGCTCCTTGCTTGCAAAAGGCCAATATCACTACGGAAAAAAAAAAAAAAAAAAAAAAAATTATATTACGTGGGGAAAATAGGGGTGGTGGGAATACAAAGTTTTTAAAATGTCAAACTGAAGGACTAGATAAGGTTCACTGTTCATTCTTCAGTTCCTCAGCTCACCTACTTGCTGCCATTTGGAAGAGTTTTAGAAAGGCAGTGAGCAGAAGGGAACATGGTCACTGCGAGGGGACTGTGTAACTGTACATAAAAGCCAACAAGCTTACTCAAAGTGGCTCTAGTTGATGAAACATCACCTGAAACTAGAAATAATTTTCCTTTCCCAGTTCTGTAGAGTTTAATGTGAGTGTGAAGGACAGGGAGAGTTGGTTTTGGGGGTTTTTATTTTTCTTCTCAAACAGCAGTTCTGCTGACACTAATGGACCGTGCCACATAAATACCTGTTGTTTTTTCTGGAAGCCCCAACAAAATCCAAAGGAAATACCAGCATAAAGTCTAACTTCTAGGTATTCTCTACAAGTGTGAAACACACCTATCTTTCTTCCTTTCCTCTTTTACCCTTACTCCTATCTCCCTTTTGTGTGTGGAAATAAGGGAAACAAAGATGACAGGATTTGTGTGTGTATAGCATTTTTATGTTTTGCGTGGAATAGAATCGTCAAATAAAAGGCGGAAGTCATAAGACTACAAGTTTTATCCGCGCACTGTTTGCAGTCTTCTACAGAGGATTCTTAAGATTGTTTAGATTTTACCTGATACCTAGGAACATCCTAAGCAAAGGAAATACACAGAAGGAAACTATTTCCTTCCCCTAACGGGTGATATGATATGAAAATATTTTGTCCCCATAATAATTATTTCCTATTTACATATAGAATCTGAGTTCATTATAATAAAAGCATTGTATGCCACTTTCCATTCTTCCTTCACACAGAGTTTAAGGCTGGTCCATGCTGGTAATTGCCCAGAAATCACCTTCACCCTGTAAGAAAGACATCTGAAGGTATTTACATTCTTCTAATTGCTGCATGGAAATGACTTCTGTCACTTCTGCCGCATTAATCAGAATACCAGTTGCTACACCTTTACCTGTCCTTTGGAAGCACCAAGTATCAAAAAATCGTTTTATGTAAGTCTTCACTCTCCCTCCTTCCCTGTTTTCTTTGGGGAGTTAATCCTTCGAGACCACAAAAAACAAAAACAAAAACAAAAAAAAAAAGTTTTTTACTGCAGCTGTTCCCAAGAAAGAGGAATCTCTTGCCCTCAGTTAAGCAATACATAAGTCAGGAGAAAAACAATTCTGGCCTTGGTGATCATATAGGATCACATAGTATTTTCTCTCTATAATCACTACAAAGGAAACTGAAGTAAGGGATGGTGCAAAGAATGAAGTTGTGAATAACTGGAAAAACTACAGAATACTGTAAGTAGGAATAGCAAAACTTAACCTGAACTTCTTCAAAGAGGAAGCAAAAACATGGCACAACAGCGACTTTAAGATGCTTCCAAAAGTGCTTTAGCAACAGCACTGCACAATTAGTATTAGTGGTATTGAACTTCAAATGTTTTTTTTTTCCTTTACTCTGAAAAATTGATACACATTTGTCTCTGAAGTTCAAAACTGTGGTCAACATCAGCTAGCACAATGTAGCCAACCCAAACAGTAATATGCTTTTGCTTCTGTCTGGCTCTACACAACTTTCACCCAGCAGTAGTTTTGCATCTGTGTGAATGGAAAGCCAGCTAGCTTGAATTCATGCTCCAGAATTCTCGCTGAAACTGCAGCAAAACCCCTTAACTATCTGCTACAGCACCAGACTGTCACCAACAAATCAGCCAAAGTGCTATTGCTATACCCCAAGATCTACTCCGAATGACTGGTAAAGCCATTCTTATGGCACAGAATGCTCTTAAGGAACCAAAGAGAATGGACATTAATGATGTTAATAATAATGCTAAAAGACAACTTTAAGTGCATCAAGGTTACCTCTAAATCTGTCTATCAATTAACACAATTAACGCTTTTCTAGCTAATAGTCTAAGTAATCTTGGGATCAATCTATTAGTTCTACTTCCAAGAAAAGCCTTTTGTCTTCTCTTTGATCCAACATTACATTATTCCTAACAAACTGTTAGCCATATTTAAATAACCTTTAATGTCTTTTTACATAGATTTACTGAAACAGGTAATTTTAATCTTAAACTCTTGCCCATTGTGGTATTATTTTATCCTCAGAAAAAGTGAAAAATATTTTACCTAAATAGCAACTAACGGCTGCCTTCAAAGGACACCTCATTAATGATGTATCACTTGCCAAGTGATTTATAATGAACTTAGACCAATATGTCAACAAGTCATGGTCATTCCCTGCTAAAGTGAATTAATTATACGACATCAAATGACTTTCATGAATCCTTGAATTTTTCCACATCAGATGGCACATCACAACATGGTGGCTATCTCTGCTAGTGACCATGTTAATAAGTAATAAAATAATTTTTGTACCTGAGGATCAAACACTGTGTTAAGTGTGCAAATAAATACTAAACAAATATTTTGTATCAAACATTTATGCAAAGATAAATAATTGTTACATTGTAAAATTGTCAGTTCCATTTACAGTACATCAACTACAGTACAATGCATGGGAGACTAACGGAAACAAGGAGGGTTTATTTAACTACAAACAATCTTAAAACTGATATACATTGTAGATATTTTCCCATAAAAACTTCAAATGCTCT